GGGAATGCACTGCCGTGACGATAAACGCAACGACCAAAACAATAGACTTGCACCTGTCCCCAGCAGAGATCTGTGAGCGATGGGCCAACACGCTTGCAGAAGGCACCGGGAGGTTCTGTGTGGTCTGCGGAAGGCCCTGGGAGGTTCTGCGTGGTCTGCGGAAGGCCCTGGGAGGTTCTGCGTGGTCTGCGGAAGGCCCTGGGAGGTTCTGCGTGGTCTGCGGAAGGCCCTGGGAGGTTCTGCGTAGTCTGCGGAAGGCCCTGGGAGGTTCTGCGTGGTCTGCGGAAGGCTCCGGGTTTGTACCTGTGCACTGCTTTCCTGCACTCGCTGAGCCTCGCACAGGTTGTGTGTGACCCTGTAGCTGCCCAGTGGTCCCTGGTTCCTTCATAGTGATGTGTGTTCAGGCTGAAAGCAGTGGTCTGCGAGAGCGTCGCGTGTGTTTACGACGCCGGCCGGCCGGCTGGGAATGTGGCCGATTACGACGCCGGCCGGCCGGCTGGGGATGTGGCCGAAACGCTCGCCCCTGTCACGCACCTGGGCGGGCCGTCGTCTGAGAGGCGACGCCACACACGAGACTGTGACCTTCCCCCAGCGTGTGTGACCGGTGGCAGCCGTGGTCACGTTTTGTGGCTCAAGAGAAGGAACGATTTGCGTCATTTCTTGCCAGTTTTAACCGATAAAATACTGCGGTACATTTCAAATCTGTGAATTTAATCTGTTAAGACAGCGTATGGGAGGATGAAGTATGATCGAGAGCAATTTGAGGCATGTTAATGTGCAAAATCGCTCTGTAAAATGTGTAAATGTACATAAGCTGGCCTGCAATGCAGTGGCCGCAAGCTGGCAGCTGCAGGGATTGTGTTCAATTTACATAACATGGCAGTTGCTGCCTTCCTTGACATTGTCGATTTCTCCACCATCAGCATTACACATTGTAGCATGACCCAGCCCCTCTGCCCCTCCAAGGTCAGTTGGCATTTGAGGGATCTGAAAGAGGGTCAGAGATCAACCCTGCAATAAAGGAATCACACAGAGGTGGCCCTCCATGTTAGTCGCATGTAAATAATCTAAATGCTAATCAGTCGTACACTGGAGTCTTGTGACCCTGCTTACAAAACCTCGTCATATTTGCAGTTTGGCAGGGAGAGCAGAGGTGAAGGTGCACATATGGGGGAGGGGTGAAATTCTGCTACTTGTGTGCTGGGTGGATAAAATGACGTTCCTGAGGAGCATGTCCATCTGACCTGCCGTGTTTTGGCAGGATCATCCACGAGGACGGCTTTTCTGGGGATGACGTGAAGCAGTACAAACCCGTGGTCTTCAGCAACACCATCCAGTCCCTGGCGGCCATCGTGCGTGCCATGGACACGCTGGGCTTGGAGTACGGGGACAAGGAGAGGAAAGTAAGTGTCTCTGCGCTTTGCATCTGACCCAGGGACGCGTAGCTGGCCGCTCATCCACATACTGTAACTCCGGTCAGCTATGTAGAATCGATACAGCGCAGTGTGACTGACGGCTGTAAGTATCAGAATAACAGAATTGGTCAGTCAGATTCAGCTCCTTAACCCAGGACTGTTTATTGACAATAATTTAATTTAAAGTCGTATCACAGCAGATCGATCATCTTCATTCCCATGCCACACATAAACCCAGATTCTCATATCTGTAAATGATCAGTCACGTACCCCAGAGGGTTGGGCACACGCAGTTACAATCATACTGGAATGGTTTATTCCCAGGTGTGCACACGTCCACACACACATGTGCACGCCCATACATACACACACACACACACACACACACATGTGCACGCCCGCACACACACGTACACGCCCGCACATATACACACACACATGTGCACGCCCACACACACACACACACACGTGCACGCCCGCACACACACACGTGCACGCCCACACACACATGTGCACACCCACACACACACACATGTGCACGCCCACACATACACACACACACGTGCACGCCCGCACATACATGCACACTCACATGTGCACGCCCATACATACAGACACACACGTACACACCTATACATACACACACATGTGCACGCCCATACATACACACACACACACGTGCACACCTATACATACACACACATGTGCACGCCCACACATACACACACACACATGCACGCCCACACATACACACACGCACACATGTGCACACCCACACATACACACACACACACACACACACACACACACGTACACACCTATACTTACACACACATGTGCACGCCCATACATACACACACATGTGCACGCCCATACATACACACACATGTGCACGCCCATACATACACACACATGTGCATGCCCGCACATACAC